TCATTGCAAATGGCAAGATTTCGTTTTTTTGATGGCTGAGTAATATTCCATTGTATATATATACCACATATTCTTTATCCATTCTTCTGTTGATGGACATCTGGGCTCTTTCCATAGTTTGGCTATTGTGGACATTGCTGCTATGAACATTGGGGTGCAGGTGCCCCTTTGGGTCACTATATTTGTATCTTTGGGGTAAATACCCAGTAGTGCAATTGCTGGGTCATAGGGTAGCTCTATTTTCAACTTTTTTTTTAAATTTTATTTTATTATGTTATGTTGATCACCATACATTATATCATTAGTTTTTTTTTTTTTTGCAGTTTTATACCTTTATTTAACAATCAGTGATTAGTTCTCATCCACATTAACTGTTTGTAGATTTTTGAAAGTGGTGACAGGTACATAGGTAACCAGTGTGTAGAGCTTGTTTGGTGAATCTTCATCCTCGTTACGTTTTCTGGACAACCGCACATGGATACGGTATGGAACATTCCTTATTCCTTTGGCCCAGACAGCTTTGTTGAGCCTGGTGTCAATGAGCACATCTGGAGTTCCCATCTCCTTCATGGCAAATTTCCGGATCTCTTTGAGTGCCCGAGGGGCACGCTTCTTGAAACCCACTCCATGGATGCGCTTGTGAATGTTGATGGTGTATTCTCTGGTCACTACTTCGTTGATGGCAGAATGGCCCTTCTTCTTCTCGCCACCCTTCTTCACGGGAGCCATTCTGCCGGGCCCTGGTTGGAAAGGAAGAGCACCTATATCATTAGTTTTTGATGTAGTGTTCCATGATTCATTGTTTGTGTATAACACCCAGTGCTCCATGCAGTACGTGCCCTCTTTAATACCCATCACCAGGCTAACCCATCCCCCCACCCCCCTCCCCTCTAGAACCCTCAGTTTGTTTCTCAGAGTCCATAGTCTCTCATGGTTCGTCTCCCCCTCCAATTTCCCACCCTTCATTTTTCCCTTCCTACTATCTTCTTTTTTTTTTTTTTTAACATATAATGTATTATTTGTTTCAGAGGTACAGGTCTGTGATTCATCAGTCTTACACAATTCACAGCGCTCACCATAGCACATACCCTCCCCAATAGACATCACCCAGCCACCCCATCCTTCCCACCCCCCTGCACTCCAGCAACCCTCAGTTTATTTCCTGAGATTAAGAATTCCTCATATCAATGAGATCATATGATACATACCTCTCTCTGATTGACTTATTTCGCTTAGCATAATACCCTCTAGTTCCATCCACATCGTTGCAAATGGCAAGATTTCGTTTTTTTGATGGCTGCATAATTTTCCATTGTGTATATGTGTGTGTGTGTGTGTGTGTGTGTGTGTGTGTGTGTGTGTATCACATCTTTATCCATTCATCTGTTGATGGACATCTAGACTCTTTCCATTGTTCGGCTATTGTGGACATTGCTGCTATAAACATTGGGGTGCACGTGCCCCTTTGGATCACTACATTTATATCTTTGGGGTAAATACCCGGTAGTGCAATTGCCGAGTTGTAGAGTAGCTCTATTTTAAACTTTTTGAGGAACCTCCATACTGTTTTCCAGAGTGGCTGCACCAGCTTGCATTCCCACCAACAGTGTAAGAGGGTTCCCCTTTCTCCACATCCCTGCCAACATCTGTCATTTCCTGAGTGGTTAATTTTAGCCATTCTGACTGGTGTGAGGTGGTATCTCATTGAGGTTTTGATTTGTATTTCCCTGACACCAAGTGATGTTGACCATTTTTCATGTGTCTGTTGGCCATTTGGATGTCTTCTTTGCAGAAATGTCTGTTCATGTCTTCTGCCCATTTCTTGATTGGATTAGTTGTTCTTTGGGTGTTGAGTTTGATAAGTTCTTTATAGATTTTGGATACTAGCCCTTTATCTGAGATGTCATTTGCAAATATCTTCTCCCATTCTGTCGGTTGTTTTTGGTTTTGTTGACTGTTTCCTTTGCTGTGCAAAAGCTTTTTATCTTGATGAAGTCCCAATAGTTCAGTTTTGCCCTTGCTTCCCTTGCCTTTGGCGATGTTTCTAGGAAGAAGTTGCTGCACCTGAGGTCGAAGAGGTTGCTGCCTGTGTTCTCCTCAAGGATTTTGATGGATTCCTGCCTCACATTTAGGTCTTTCATCCATTTTGAGTCTATTTTTGTGTGTGGTGTAAGGAAATGGTCCAGTTTCATTCTTCTGCATATGGCTATCCAATTTTCCCAACACCATTTGTTGAAGAGATTGTCTTTTTTCCATTGGACATTCTTTCCTGCTTTGTTGAAGATTAGTTGACCATAGAGTTGCGGGTCCATTTCTGGGTTTTCTATTCTGTCCCATTGATCTATGTGTCTGTTTTTGTGCCAGTACCATACTGTCTTGATGATTACAGCTTTGTAATAGGGCTTGAAGTCCGGAATTGTGATGGAGAAGGCGGACTCTTGTCCAAAAACCAACCCCGAGGTTTCTGCCTGGCCCGAAGATTTTTACAGAAACTTTAGGGCAGTTAATCAGTAAAAAGGGAGGACAGTGGTCTTTAACCCTTCTTGATTGCATGCAGACTCAGTGGTGCCAGCTACACTTGTTATCCTGGTGCTTAGAGGTTGAGTATTGCTGCGTGGGGCGGGATGGCGGGGGGGGGGGGAGCGGGGGAAGTTGTGCAAGAGAGTTTGGTCTGGAGTCTTTCTAGGAAACAATGCAATGCATCATCTATAGATACACAAAGAAGGGTTTAGTTAATCCATCACGTGGGCTAAAAGTGCTTGCTAAAACTCAAAGACTACTAAATTGGCTGCAGGGGCCAAGACAGCGGCTTCAAGGGCACCGAGAGCCAGGAGAAGGGACCTACAAGTTTCTAGAGTGAGAACAATGGTCACGTCCAAGGAAAGGATTAAGAAACAGAGTGACTTCAGGGTTTTGAAACAGCCACTGGACGGTAGAAGACACTGCAGCAATACCCTCAAAATTCTGAAGGAAGATGATTTCTAACCCAGAACCTGAAATCCAGCCAAACAATCCATGAAGTGCCCAGTTTTTAAATCCCAAGAAGGGACTTTGATTGGTCAGGAGGTGGGGTATTCAAGAAGATGGAGGCTCCATTGAGACGGCAAGGGTGGGGGCCCCGAGGAAGCAGTTTCCCGAAAGAGGGACTCAGCTCAAACCTGAGGAGGGAGAAGTCTCTTTGGGGATGACTCCTTTGGGGAATAGGCTAGGTCAGCAAGCAAAACAAAACAAGACAACAAATTTTTAGTCGCCCCGTTCAAGTAAACAAAGTAGGTGAAACTAATTTTGTCACTTATTTTATTTAACCCACTATATAAAAATATTATTTTAACATGTAATCAGTATGAATTATATTGAGATATTTTGCTTTTTTTTTCATTCAAAGTCTTCCAAAATCCATGTAGTTTGCATTTTAGACTCACAGGGCATTTCAGTTTGGATCAGCCACTTGTGGTTAGTGGCTCCCTTTCTTGGACAGTTGGACAGTGCAGTGCTAGGAAGGTCAGAAATGATAAGTAAAAGGCAGCAGTGGGGTTCAAGTGAAAACTAGGTTAATAAGAGTTCTTTCTCTTTCTGAAGAACTGGTCTTTGCTCCAGGAAATGGAGCAACTGGAGGGATTATTTAGATAGAGTTGGTTCCTTAATTGGTGGTCAAAGTAGAAAGTCAAGAGAAAGAGTGCATTTTGTGTGATAGTGGGAAAACCATGAACCTGGCAATGTCGGAAGATCGAGTCAAACGGAACACTTAGTTCTCTTAGTAATGGCAAAGAATAGATTGACTAAGAATACGGAAGTGCATGAAATGACAAGAAAGAAAATGGGGTTTTGGTTAGATTTGAAGTGGGGGGTGGTGGTAACTCCACTTCACATGTCAAAAATGCTGTAGAGCGGTGCTGAACTTTGAACAAAGGGAGTGGAAACGGAAGTCAGTATTAGAAAAAAAGCAAGAAAGAATGAGGCAGAGAGATCTGCTTGTTGCACTGTGAATGAGGTCATAACATGATGGTTTCATTTTTCCTAAGGCAGTCCTGGGAGTCCTCTTGTGGAGTGGTGTGAATAGTTAGGCACCCACACCTGGCCCACACCTGATATTATCAATCTTTTATTTATGTATGTATGTATTTATTTATTTAAAGATTTTATTTATTTATTTGACAGAGACACAGCAAGAGAGGGAACACAAGCAGGGGGAGTGGGAGAGGGAGAAGCAGGCTTCCCGCGGAGCAGGGAGCCCCATGCTGAGCCGAAGGCAGACGCTTAATGACTGAGCCACCCAGGCGCCCCTTATTTATTTATTTATTTATTTTTAAAAGATTTTTTTTTTTTTATTTATTTGTCAGAGAGAGAGAGGGAATGAACACACAAGCAGGGGGAGTGGCAGGCTCCCCACTGAGCAGGGAGCCTGATGTGGGGCTCGATCCCAGGACCCTGGGACCATGACCTGAGCCAAAGGCAGACGCTTAACTCACTGAGCCACCCAGGCATCCTATTATCAAGCTTTTAAATCTTTTCTTGTCTGGTATGGAGAATAATGATACCTCACGGGCTTCTCAATTTCATTTCTCAGGTTCTATGTGAAGTTGAATGCATTTCCAAATGTCTATTTGCCTGTTGTATTTCTTCTGTAAGTTGTCTGTCCACATCCTTTGCCAGTTTTTCTAATTGGTATTTTGTCTTTTTTATATTGATTTGAAGGAGCCTGTTCTATTTTCTAGATGGCAGTGTTTTGTCAAGTTTTATCCCTTGATTCAAGGAGAAGAATTTTAAATTTTAAAAAGTAAAGCCTCTCAATTTTTTTTTTTCTAGCTTTGGTCTTATTCTAAGATGGGTTCTCTCCTGTATTTACTTCTAGTGTTTTTATGATTGTGTTTTTTTTAATATTTAAATTTTTATCCATATGGGATATATTTTCGTATATGGTATCATGCACTATGGAAACTCTAAATATAGAATCCACATACTAGAAATAACTTTAGTTTCTCTACTTTCTCCCATCGCAGGGAAGCACTTGGAGAATATTTAGATGGGAAGAAAGAGAGTGAGGAAGATCAAAGCAAGAGCTACAAGCAGAAAGAAGAAAGCAGACTGGTATGAGCTGGGTAGCAGATGGGTCCTGTCAGCCAGTGACACTAGGGACCTGGGTGTGATGTCATGCTTTTTGTACTTAGACCAGAAAAATCTCACGAGAGATTCCATGTTCCCACCTTTAGTTAGGCAGAAGTGAATTTGAATCTTTCCCATCTTGAGAGCTCTCTAGGAGTGAGCTTTCATTTCATCCTACAGACTATTCATTGGATCAAGTGCAAATGTTTAAGCTACCCATTCAGGGCCTTCTCTTCCCGTCCTAACCTCAGTCTTCGTCCCACTGATACCTACTTTGGGCCTTCGCTCTCGCTTGGCTGATCTGCTCACTCACCTCCAGTGGGGGCTTCGCTCTTGCTGTTGTGTGTGCCTCTGATCTTCCAGAATGCCATTCCCTCCCCTCCCCTCCTCTTCCCTCTCTGCCACCTCTTTCTCTTCTCCTCTCCTCTCATCAGGATGCCTTCCCACACTTCAGGACCATCTCAAGTCCCAACTTGAGAGGACTTCAAGTCCATGACTCTTCTGCGCCCAGACTCCTTTAATTCACACACCGAATACTTCTTCTCCGTGCCACGTGTTTCATTTTAGACCATTTTCTCGCTTGTAAGACTTCAAATGTGTGTCCTGCAGTGTCCCCAGTGGAGCTGTAAGCTCCGTGAGAGGGAGAGCCTCTCCTATACCCGTGGAGTAGTGCAGAGCTTGTACTCAATGACCACTAAAAAGAAAGTCATCGATTGCTCTCCCATGGCAATACCAGGGCTCCTGGGATGTTTAATACAGGACTTGGAACAACACTTCCAAACAGCAAGCAGAACTGGTGAAGTGCTGCATTTAATTAATTGCTAAATGAGTATCATAGGGCAGCGGGACGGTCGGAATTGAGGTAAGGAAGAGGGCTGCCCAAGCGGGCCTGATGGGGGAAGGTTACATGGAGAAAGTGGGATTTGAGCTGCATCTTGGAAAAATAGGTGGGACTTACAAAAGCAGAGAGGAGAGAGATCGTTTCTAGCAGAAGCTGAAGTGCACTTACTGGGAGAAAAAAATACTCAAGTTACTGAAATGTCATTATAGAGCATAGAGATCTATAGAGACACCTGAGTGAACCGTATGGTACTGTGTCAAGGATAAGATACTTGATGTGGCAGAAAGAATACTGAACCGTGGTGTGTTCTTGGTCCTGATCTGGTGCTTGCTGTGACGTAGATGAGTCATGCCCCCTCTCTGTACTGGGGTTACTCCGTCAAAGTGTCAATGATCTCTGCACATCGCTGGGTAGGATCACAAGAATATTGTATAGAATCTGGAACCTACTGTTATAGTTTATACTGCTATGGTCTTGAAAATACTGATATACACTTCATCTGGAGCACTCTTTGAGTGTGAACCCGGAGAGATAATGTTGTTTTCATTAGCAGCTTTTCAAGCTTCCTTTCACTTAGGACTTAAGTCATGTAAAGTGTTGGCGTAGAAAAGAAATGTATAAAAACCAAATGCTGCCTTCCTCAATATCAAGATATTAATAACCAGTTCTACCCTAAGACTTGGACAGGAAGGGCCACTGTCCTTGGCCCTGAACCTTATCAGTCATTTTTAATTGGTGATTCTTTTGTTTCCTATCTTGCTCCAATTTTATAAATATATTCTTCCAAGTTTTCTCTTAGAAGCTTTATTGTTCTATCATTTACATTTTGGTCTCTAATCTATCTTGAATTGATTTTTGTGGGTGGTGTAAAGGTAAGGCTCAAGGTTCACTGTTCTGTGTATGGATTTTTAATTGACCCAGCACCATTTATTGAAAAGATCATCCTTTCCCCACTGCACTGCAATACACCTTTGTTGTGAATCAGGTGATCACCTATTGGATTTGTTTCTAGATTCTCTATTCTGTTCTATTGGTCTACTTGTCTGGCTTTATACCAGCTCCACACTATTTTAACTACTGTAGCCTTATGACAGGTCTTGACATCTGGTGGAGTGGGTCCTCTAGTTCTGTGGTTCTTCAAGATTGCCTTGGCTATCCTTGACCTTTTGCATTTCCATATAAATTTTACAATCAGCTTGTCAGTTTCCACCCAAAAACCTGCTGGGATTTTTAAGAAGTTTTATCTATATATTTTAGAGAGAGAGTGGGGGTGGGGGGTGGGGAGATTGGGGTTAAGGGGAGGGGGAGAGGTGGGGGGAGAGAGAGAGAGTCCTCAAGCAGACTCCCGCTGAGCGTGGAGCCTGATGTGGGGTTCAATCCCAGGACCCTGAGATCATGACCTGAGCAGAAATCAAGAGTCAGCCACTTAACCCACGAGCCACCAAGTTGTCCCCTGCTGGGGACTTTAACTGAGGTCATTTAGGAAAGAATTAATGTCTTAACAACAATGAGATGTACAATCTGTGTGTATAAAATATCCCTCCATTTATTTAGGTATTCTTGAGTTTTGCTCAACAATGTTTTACACTTTGTGTTGAGGCTCTAAGTGTTTATTGCTGATATATAAAAGCACAATTGGTTTTTGTATAGTGACCTGATATTCAGCAACTTTGTCAAATTCACTTGTTAATTCTAATAGCTGTCCTGTGGTTTCTTTTGTTTGCATGTTTAATTTTTTATATATATAACCCTATCATCGGAAAATGACGGTTTTATCTTTTCCTGTGTCTGTTCGTCTGTTGGTGACTGTAACATTTTCTGTTTTACTTTTTTTTTTTAAAGACTTTATTTATTTGTTTGACAGAGAGAGAGGGAGCACAAGCAGAGGGAGAAGCAGGCTCCCCGCTGAGCAAGGAGCCTGATGCTGAGCTCAATCCTAGGACCCTGGGATCATGACCTGAGCCGAAGGCAGACACTTCACCGACTGAGCCACCCAGGTGCGCCTCTAACTTCATAAATTCTTCTTTGTTTTCAGAAATTGGCTAAACTGCTGCTCTGTGGCACTGAGTTGGTGACAAATATCCAGGTGGCTACAGATATCCGAGAGATCCACAGGAGAGTGGAAGAACAGGAGATCAAGCGTCAGAGGTAAGGAGCCCCTGCTCTGCAGCCTGGGGGACATGAGGGCACCTCTTCCGTGGGTCCCCAAATTCTCCCCAACTGTTGGAAGGTGGCTGTATCAAACTCAGTCTAGCAGGTTCCTCTTAGTGGCCCTTAGGATGAATCTCTTCCTTCCCTCTTGCGTTCCTCCCTTCTTCCTCCTTTCCCCACTTGGCCATTTTAGCTTCTCTCCACGATAGCGTGATGTTAACAGTTTTTAGCTGTTTAGCATAAGTAATTCCTTCAGCACCTTTACTAGCTTTATCAGCATGCAGTTGACTTTATTCTTTTTTTTTTAAAGATTTATTTATTTATTTGAGAGAGCGAGAATGAGAGAGAGAGAGTATATGGGGGGGGAGGGTCAGAGGGAGAAGCAGGCTCCTCACCGAGCAGGGAGCCCGACGCGGGACTCGATCCCGGGACTCCGGGATCATGACCTGAGCCGAAGGCAGTCGCTTAACCAACTGAGCCACCCAGGCGCCCTGGTGACTTTATTCTTGCCACTTCCCACTGCCTGCCTTGGGCTGTATACCCAGCCCTGAAGTGGCTGATATCCCAGCCACGCCAGGGAGTTAGGCTTTGTCCTGTAACCACTGATGAAAAACTGAAGGTCTTAAGCGGCAGCGTTACAGGATAAATGTGGACTTTAGAAAGACGACCTGGTTGTTATTTTTCATTTTTTGAGGACAAAAGTCAAGTGAATTATCATATGGACTCTGCTCTAGCTCAGAAGTGAGGCGAGAAGGAGAGAGGAGCATGAGGTTAAGTTGTTACTTCTGTCCTGTAGGGATTGGCGCTCAAGTCAGAGGGCAGCCTCCTAGAATGACAGTCTGTTAAGGTAGGGAGATAGTCTTGGCATGTGTCCTAGCAGCTGTTCTGGGGGGGGGGGGCTCGCCTCTCGTCCTCACACCTCCCTTCAGTCTGGTCCTCTCCTCAGTACACTCCATCACAGAGACTCTTTGGAATTTCTGGAAAGGCCATGCCGATTTTCCATTGCTTAATAGTGGAGTTTCCCTATTTGTATGTCCCCCTGGTCATTTATCGATAATTTGGGAGAGGAACGGCCACACGCCTGAAGTCGTGTTGATAACCAAAAACAATAATAAGTATACCCTTTGTTAACAGACTGCTGTGCTGAGCATTATCTCACTTAACTTCGACAGTAGCCGTATGAAAGTAGGTGCTTTCATCCTCTCCCTCTAACAGAGGAGAAAAATGCAGCTTGCAGAGGGTAAGGGACTTGTCTCATGTTGAGAGTCAGTTAGTGGCAAAGTCAGGCCTTGGTCACTGGAGTCATATAGTTTGTTACAGAAGTATGTGACAAATTGACTCTTGATCCGCACGCATGTGTGTGTGTATAAATCGGTATAGCTTTAAGGATGATCTGCTTTTGTTATGTGTCACTTTGTTTATTTGGTCTCCTTACTGCCAGTCACTTTGTTTATTTGGTCTCCTTACTGCCAGTCAGTCCTTAAGCTAAAAGAAGATTTCTCAGAGCCTGGTTTGGTTTTGAGCGGGGGTATCTGGAGGCAGTGCTTGGGACCCGGGTCTGGTATTTCAGACTCTCGTGAGCCTGCCTGCCTCCAGTAGGAGGCAGCTTCCAGAGCTGGGCTGGCATGGCCGGCCTGTTTGTATTCACAGACTTGAAAAGCTGGAGAATGAAGTCAAGACAAGCCAAGACAAATTTGATGAAATCACCGCAAAGTGGGAGGAAGGCAAACAGAAGAGAATTCCCCAGGACTTGTGGGACATGCTCAACACCCAGCAGATGCACTGCGCAGGGCTGATAGAGGACAAGAACAAGCTTATCAGCGAGTTACAGCAGGCAAGACTCCTGGCCCACCCTGCCACGTGGGCTCAGGCTGGGGGGTTTGCCTGGCTTATTTGTTTGCTCTACCTGAATGGAAAAATGTGGAGGCCTCACTTCACTACTCGGATTATTGCATAACTCAGGCAATAAATTCAACCAGAAGGAAAAGCTTTGGAGTAATTTTAGAACTATTGGTGACCTTAGCAAGATGTATGTTGGTAGCAAATGCTGTGTCAGATTTTACGTTTTCAATTAAGGAATGGAACTTAGTCTGTAGTATATAGATTCCCATGTTGGATCCTGGATCTTCATTGCTCAGCTGGGGCGCCCTAGGCTGTCTGGGAGCTTACGGGGAGATTTGGAGCAAGTAGTCATGGAGGGTTTGATCCTGCTGCTCGTTCCAGCTTTGCCCCGAGCTGAGGCCACTCCACTCCATCTGTCTGTGCCTTCTCCTGGGCGTCCTCAGATTCTTCTGAAGTTAATTTTGCTTTGTATAGTTGCAATTCCTAGTGTTCACAGATACCGAAGAGAGAGGTCCAAGTGGAGTGCACTTGGCACCTCTTGCTTCTGTCTTAGTTGGCGGCCAACTTTTGACACGCTCTTCTCTAGGAGTTGAAAATAAAAGATGACCAGTATGTGAAGGATTTGAAGAAACAGTCAGATGACATCTGCCTGCTTCTAGAGCGAATGGAAGAACAAGTGAAGCACGTCATGAAAACCTTCCGTCAGGAGCTCAACTACATTGAGGTAACAGGGTGTGAAAGGGCTGCCTTCTGCCCACGGGCGGCGCCTGGGAGGAGGGCCAGGTCTGTCCCAACCGTGCCAGGTGTCTCGTCCTCTGGTTTCGGCCCCTTCATTTGTTTACCCATTCATTGGCTCATCCAACAAGTATTCATCAAGCGCCTACTATGTGCCAGCCACTGTACCAGGCGCCGGGGATACAGCTATGAACAAAGTCCTCGACGGAGTCTGTATTCTAGTAGGAGACAGCTAGACAATAAACAGATAAACTACTAAATATATAGTTGGACAGGGGGTAATCAGTGCTTTGCAAGAAAATAAAATCATGTAAGGATAAGAAGAGTGGAGGAGGGGGGTATTTGTGAGCTGTTGATTTGTTGTATTTATGGCAGCCAGGGGGTGGGGGCATGGGAAAACAGGTTCTGGAATCAACACTTTGAATTAGAATGGAATGTTAAGGATTGAGATTGAGACCTTTCCAAAATGGAAGAGAGCCAAGAGGGTGGGGACCTCTCTGTTTGGATTATTCTAGATTCTGTTCTGCATTCCTTGGCCTACCCTTTGTGAGCAACATGCTGCTTTGTTTTGTGGGAACCCCAAGCATAGCAATGCAGCAGCCCTGGGTGTGATTGAAGCATATGCCAGGGCTTGCCCTGTAACTGCCCTCAAGGGCACTCACTGGCCTTCCTCCAGCTCCCTCCTCTGATATTGGCTGAGCCACAGGGCAGTTGGCACATTTCTTCTCGAAATTTATGGGAAGCCCAGACGTCATAACACTAATTTCCACGCAACAGTTTGCATTTGGATTTGACTTGGGCTATCTCGTTGGTACATGGCATCTTGTGCAAATACTTATGAGTTCTTTCATACTGTGGAACCTGCCCAATCAAAACAGACACAAGAGCCCTCTTCCTTCTTGGTCGTAGAAAGCATTTGAGGTAGAACGACGGGAACTGCTGACCAGTAATAAGAAGAAATGGGAGCAGGCCCTGCAGGCTCACAATGCCAAAGAGGTAAAGGGGCAGTGGGTGGGGGAGGGCATGGTGGCAGTGTCAGGGGTAATCCATGGAGTCTGGGGCAATAGCTGCTGAATCTGTATCTTGGGGAGGATTGCCATGGCAGACATTTACTACTGCACTTCATGGTTAGTCGGTGTGGCCCTGCGGGTGGCGGCTGCCTCTGGTGGTGACATTTGTTTCTGGTAGCTGTGAATGCCACCTTCCTTTGCAGCTCACCGGGGTTCCGGTGGTCCTGTCATTCTCTTCTTTGTTCCCAGGCTTCTACCCCAGGCACGGATATGTGTGACCCAGGAAGATGTTTTAAAGGGTGTGGGGGTTATCACTTTACTTCAGAGACATAAAGAACAAAGAAATAATAGCTTGACCAAGATCCAGTGGATTTTTTTTTTTTTTTTTTGAGAAATACAAATGTCTGACCACAGGGCCCACAGCTAATTTCTTAATGGAACAATCCTCTTGGAGTTTCTCAAGTTAGGAGGCTCCAGAGTAAGGTAAACAATACAAAGCCTTGGGGCACAGGAGCTTCTGAGGACCGACTGACTCCCTCCAGACTCATGACACTTGGAGACCCTTCAATGTGTCATGCTTGTCAGGCCACTGGAAGGACTGAGTCAAGACAGCGATAGGGCTGACTTTCCTCTTGTCTTCCTGTGCCTTCAGCTGGAGTATCTTATGAACCGCATCAAGAAAGTAGAGGACTATGAGAAGCAGCTGAACAGGCAGAGGATATGGGACTGGGAAGAGTACAACATGATCAAGATCAAACTGGAGCAGGATGTGCAGGTCTGACTTGTTCCTCAGCGTCTGGGTGGCAGAGCAGAGTACTCGTGCACGGTGAATCCTTGGTGACTGCCCAGAATGTTCTAGAGTTAGTCCATTCAACAGATATGTATTCATTATCTGCTTTCTTTCAAATGATCATATCTGTGTGTCAGGACCAAAGCAGAACAGCCACCATCTAGTGAGTAACTAGGCACTTAAGACACAGTGTCTCTAGTCCTCATACTAACACGGAAGGGAGGAATCACTGACCACATTTTATATGTCAGGAAATAGGCTACTTACCTGGCAAATGGTAGGCCCTGGATTCAAACCCAGCTCTGTCTGGCTCAATAGGCTATAATGTTCCTGATATTCTAAATAGCCTCTGGCTGATGGTTGGACATCGCAGGAAGGCAGATCCGACTTGCCATCAGAAAGATCTTCCTTCCTTCCTTCCTTCCTTCCTACCTTCCTTCCTTCCTTCCTTCCTTCCTTCCTTCCTTCCTTCCTTCCTACCTTCCTTCCTTCCTACCTTCCTTCCTTCCTTCCTTCTTCCCTTCCTCCCTCCCTCCCTCTGTTCCTTTCTTCCAAAGATTTATTTGAGAGAGAGAGAGAGAGCGCACATGCTCTGGTGGGGCAGAGAGAGAGGGAGAGAATCCCAAGTGGACTCTGTGCTGAACATGGAGCCTGACGTGGGGCTGGATCTCACAAACCTGAGATCCCAGCATGAGCTGAGACCAAGAGTCGGACGCTTAACCGACTGCGCCACCCAGGCGCCCCAGAAAGAACTTTTTAATAGTTAGAACTATCCAATATAGAAAAGGGTCATTCCACAAAACAAGGAGTCTTCTATCTCATAAAGTATTTAAAGGCTGCATGACTATGTCTGTCTTCAATGCTGAGGAAGGATTCTTGCAGTGGAAGGAGGTTAGATTTTCTGGTTTGTGAAGTTCTTTCCAAGCCTAGGATTCTGTGCTTCAAAGTTAGTTAAAAAAAGCTCATCTCTAATTATATTTAGGTGTGATGTAATTACCTCTTAATATTCCAGCACAGTCTATTCATTTCCGTTTCTGTCTAGAAAAACTTGTTAGACTAAAGCTTTTCCACATAGCCTGTGATAGAATTTCAGGAACTACTACTGTTGTGGCTTTATGTAACAAGGTGGAATCAAAGCCCCTCCAGACTACAGATATTCTTACCAGTCTTGAGAATTTTCCTGGGCCTTTCTCCTATTAATGTCATGGAAATGAGAGTCACTGACAAGGAACAGTGGAAGTCTGAGAGCAGCGCTGCGTATGTGGGCTGTATACATGACACTTTTAATGAAAGTGGCTATTGTTAAGCTTTCTTTAGTCATTTTGGTTTTATAATAATTTATGGGACAAAACTACACACTGCTGACGTCCAACAGTGAAATAATGGAAACTCATGTTCTTTTATTTGTTGTTTTGTTTTTTCTTTTGTGTTAAGAGCACGTAACACAAGATCTACTCTCTTGACACAATTTTAAATATACAATAACAGCATTGTTACTCAAAGACCTTCTGTTGTGCCGTTAGATCCCCAGAACTTATTCATCCCACATAACTGAAACTTTGTGCGCTCTGACCAACTCCTCCCGCCTTCCCCTCCCCCAGTTTGACTATTTTAGATCCCACATACAAGTGAGACCATGCAGCGTTTGTCTTTCTGTGTCTTGCTTATTTCATTTATTAGTATAATGTCCTCCCTGTCCATCCACGTTGTTGCAAATGGTAGATTGTCCTTTTTTTTAAGATTTTTTATTTATTTTTTGTCAGAGAGAGAGAGAGAGAGAGAGAGAGAGAAGAGCACAAGCAGGGGGAGCGGCAGGCAGAGGGAGAAGCAGGCTCCCCGCTGAGCAAGGAGCCCGATGCGGGACTCGATCCCAATCATGACCTGAGCCGAAGGCAGATGCTTAACCAACTGAGCCACCCAGGTGTCCCTAGATTGTCCTTTTTTAAGGCTGAGGAAGATTGCATGATATGCCTAAACCACATTTTCTTTCCCCATTAGTCCACTGATGGGCATTTAGGTTGTTTCTATCTCTTGACCGTTTTGAATATGCCACAATGTACACGGGTATGCAGACATCTCTTCAAGATCCAGATCTCAGTGCCTTTGGATCTATATCCAGAAGTGGAATTATTGGATCAAATGGTAGCTCTATTTTTTATCTTTTGAGGAACCTCCGTATTGTTTCCAGAGTGGCTGCACCAGTTTGCATTCCCACCATCGGTGCACGAGCTTTCCTGTTCCATATCCTTGCCAGCACTTGTCGTCATTGGTTTTTTGACAATGGCTATCCTAAGAGGTGTGAAGTGATATCTCTTTGTAGCTTCGATTTGCATTTCCCTGATAAGTAGTGACGTTGAGCACCTTTCATAAACCTAATAGCCATTTGTATGTCTTCTGATCAGGTAGTTTATTATTATTATTATTTGCTATTGAGCTGTAGGAGTAGAACCTCACATTCTTAATCTAATCCTCAAATGCTTGAACAAAGTCAAAAAATTCTGGGACGTGGGGAGATTTTGGGGGTAAGGGGTGATGGAAGACTAAGGATGGAGAGGCAGAGAGCCCGGGAGACCCGCATCTCCTGGCTTCCCCTGTCCAGTTGGACTACCTGTGGAGTGTGGGTATTTGGGAGGCAGGCAGATGGAGAGATTCAGCGCGGGGCATTGTGTGCAGTTCCTGTGCACAGTGGTTCTTTCCTGGGTTAGCATGGAAAGCAGGAGTATACTGTCCCACATTACCCTTTAACTAGGAACAGATAATCTAATCAGGGATTACCATTATTACCATATGTGGGGTATTTTAGTAGATCGAACTTGATCATAATGCCACTTAGGTGTACTTCACTAGACAGTGAAGTCAAATAGCATCGGTTTTTGTCAAGAAGATACAGCTCAACATCAAATTTGCTCTTCCTAAGTAATTCATAGCACTGTATCAGTTCTAAAATACACAATTAAAAGTTTTGCAAATCGCAAAAATCCGAAGGATCCAATACACAGAGATTTGGTTTGATGGGTAAAGTACAAGAAGTAAAAAAGAGAATGTATACTTTCCGAATGCTTACTGCCAGTAAGGTGACATTCTTAATGAGCAAGAAAAAAAAGAATGCCTGTAAACATTATGCACTGGAGAAGGATTTTACCATACCCGCCCACTGCCCCAAAATAACACTACTAGAAACACTTAGTTCTTGATGCAGGAAACAAATGCTTTTTCCTTTAGGTCCTACTTGTGCTTTTAAAATTGTAAAATGGTTTAGGGTTCAACTTCAGGGACGGTTACCTTTAATACCAGAATATTAATCACAAAAATCAAATACAAGTTACTTATTTAACAAATACCGTGAACTTACATTGTGCAAAGTGCAAAGATAAACAAGGCACAGTTCCTGAGAGTGGAGGTGAAAAGGCCCCGCAGGATCTCTGAGGTCAGCCCACAGGACCAGGGCAAAGGCTGTTTCAAATTTCCATTCTACTTGGGGTGATGGTGACAGCTGGTTTTCTGGAGCTTGTGGGGCAAGAGGTGGCCTGCAAAGCGGCTGTGGAGAGGCTTGTACTGACGCAGGAAGAACGGGAAGGTGGGATCAATGTAATGTACCATATTATGTAATGTAATGTACATACATGTAATGTAATGTACCATTATACTGACGACCTTTTGGGGCAGGTTGGATTGTAATCTTTATAAATTATTCACAAAACCCGAACACGACGTTTCGCCATTAGTCTTGGGAACATAAAGTACAGTTTTGCGGCAATATCTTCGGGTCATTGAAGAATAAGTGCAGACAGTTAACAAAATCAGTTACAATTTTAAAATATAAAACTATTTCAACGTATGACAACCAAGGATGGCTGCATGTTGAGACTAAACCCTGAAATAATTGACAAGAGTCACCGGTACCAAAATTATCTTGAGCAGAAGGTGTTGAAAACAAATGAGTCACATAATTCGTGCAACCACCTGCTGTAGACTCTCTTGGGTGAGACTACAAGACTGTTAGTTCTGCACGTTCATTGACAGCACTGCCAAAAACTCCCAAAGGGCATTGTGACTGTGGAGGCGGTAGATTGAGTGCCACATGTCTTGGACCAGAGCTGGGGTGATGGAGCAGCTGATCTGTGATCCCCTAGAGATGGAAAGCCCACAATGCATGTTGCATTGCTAGTCCTTCCATGCATCAGTCTCCTAGGAACATATTCTAGCAAAGAGCAGGAGCAGGTGCGCTCCACAAGAGAAAATAAAATGGGTTAATAAATAATGAACCACAAGCGCAAGCAAAGAAGTGCAAATTAGAACCGGCAGGTGACAGAGTTTCTTTGTTTGTTGTTTTGCCTATAAGATCAGCTCAGATGTGAGTTCTTTCAGGTCACAAAGAAAAAGACATGGCCTAATTAATTCAGAGTTTTGTGAACTGTGTTGAGCTAGGTGAGGTACGAGTGGTGGTTTCACAAAACTAACAAAAAAAGTGAGTCAGTGATTTTTTTTTTCCTTTCAAGATGTATTATGTAGGATAAAGAGACAGTCGGTTTCCGTAGTTAGTATTATCTAATAATCTGCCTTCAGGAATGAAATTTACGTGAACACTCATGGGCTAGAGCTTGCATTTGTAACTCACATGGTCTCACTTCCTTATAAATGTAAAAACTGTTCTATGGCCAAATAAGTTTGGGAAATGCTGTCTTAGTGATAGGGGCTTATTGCAAGGCTATGAGAAAAAGGAGGTCCCTGGATGTCATCAGAGCAAACACCAGGCACTTGGGGTCTCAGCCACTCACTGTCGGTCCAAGTCAGAGCAACTCCGGAGAGTGTTCGTACCTTCCCAGGTTATCTCCATCCAACAAGGAGCTTTTCTATTGGACTTTGTTTTGAGCCACCTCCTAGGTCAGTGGCCTTCCTGATGTCCAGGGCTGGTTTTGTTTGGAGCACAAGGGCATAAATCATTGTGAGTTCCCTGCCCATAATGGAGATTTAGAACTCTCTGGGATAGTTAAACAGGGTACTCTTGACTAATTCTCTCACTTATCCATGCCAGTGCCTTTGTTCTCCTCTGCATCACCTCCTGGCCAGTTACCCTCCTTGAGGATGGTCCACAGTCGCGAGGGGAATGCTGTCTGGACTCACTTCCTAAGTTGATTCCTTGGCAAGGCTCTGTAGCCGCGTGGAAGGAGATGGGGGAAGGAGGCTTGATTGAGTGCCACATGTCACATGTCCCTGCCTGTCAAGCTCTGATCACGCTTAATTACATCCTCTGTTCCTGCATTTCCACTCAGGAAAGGCCGGAGCAAGCTTGCCTTTATTTGCCCTGCTTCTAGCCTTGTCTTGCTCTTGACATTTTTTTTTTTTTAACTGTCAGAGTGACTTTCTTTCTTTCTTTCCTTTCTTTCCTTTCTTTCTTTCTTTCTTTCTTTCTTTCTTTCTTTCTTTCTTTCTTTTTCTTTCTTTCTTTCTTTCGATTTATTTATTTATTTTAGAGAGAGAGAAAGAACATGAGCAGGAGGGGCAGAGGGAGAGGAAGAGAGAATCCCAAGCAGACCGCATGGAGCCCAACGTAGGGCTTGATTTCAGGAACCTGAGATCAGGACCTGAGCTGAAACCCAGGAGTCAGACGCTTAACCACTGCACTCCCCAGACGCCCCCAGAGCGATCTTTCTCTACTGCCCTGCTGCTCTACCAGCCTCTTTTCTGACCATTTCCTGCCTCATACCTCACACTCTACTCTGCTCGTGGTTTCCCCAAAGCACCTCATTCCCATGCCCCTCTGGAGCTCTGTCCCCTGAGGTGTCCACCTGAGCTACTCCTACTCATTTTCCAGGTCTCAGTTAGACATGCTGGGGACATGAGTGGGGACACCTCTGTGGCAATATGAACTTGTATGGTGTTTCTGGTGGGGTGATGTGTATCTCCAGAGGGTCTGGTGCTCAGCACCAGAGGGGGCCAGACTGGAGGCTCTAAATGTCATCTCTCTCGGGCTTTAGGGACACAGGCTTTAAGCTTACAGTTGAATGATGGATATATTTTTTAAAGATTTCATTTATTTATTTGAGAGAGAGAGAGAGGGAGAGCACAGAGGGAGAGGGAGAAGCAGACTCCCCAATGAGCAGGGAACCTGATGTGGGACTTGATCCCAGGACCCCGAGATCATGACCAGAGCCAAAGGCAGACCCTTAGCCAACCGAGCCACCCAGGTGCCTGAATGATGGATATATATATATATTTTTTCTGGTTGGCCTTTCATTTGCCTCTAATGCCAGATTTTCTAAGAATTCAAGTGGAGGCACTTGTCCCTTCGGTTCCTCTGACATGACTCCAGAACAAAGAATCAGGGACCCTCAGGTACAAACAGTGATACCAGGGCCAGTGAGTATTATTATTTTTTAAACCTTAGGTTCTTGAGCAACAGCTTCAGCAGATGAAAGCAACTTATCAGCTAAACCAAGAGAAGTTGGAGTACAACTTCCAGGTGCTGAAGAAGAGGGACGAAGAGAGCACAGTGATCAAATCCCAGCAGAAGAGGAAGATCAATCGGTAAGCGAGCATGCAGAACATCAGCCCTGCTGTGCTGAAAATGGGGATGGGGAGGAACTCTCCCCTTCCGGAGGAGTGTGAGCTATTAACAATATAACCAAGTCTTATTCAAAGAGTTTTTGGGGAAAAGATAATACTTTCAACTGCTCCACCGCCTCCCCCATGAAAGAATGTACAGCAAAAAGTCCGTCTCCCCATTTTGTGTGGCACCTCTTTCCCACCTCTGTAAGAATTGTTCTTTTCTTTTATTTCTTCCAGAATTTCTTTAACCGCATACAAGCAAACACAGATAAATACTCTCACCACTCCCTCTGTTTTTAGACCAAATGATAGCATTCTATACATTCTATACGCACTTTTCTGTGTCTTGAATGTTTCCGTATCAGTTCATAAAGAGCTTTCACATGATTTAATGTCCCTGTGGATGGACATTTAGATTGCTTCTAATCTTTTGCTACTGCAAATGATACCAGTGTAGGTACTCATGCCAGGGTCTCACTCTGCAGATGCGCAGAGCTCTCTGTGGGACAAATTCTCCACTTGTTATCACAGAAGCAGTACTGTGCGTTTTAGAGAAGCAGGAAGTACCACACGTGAAAGTAAGATAAAAACAAAAACAGGGGCGCCTGGGTGGCTCAGTCAGTTAAGTGTCTGCCTTCGGCTCAGGGCATGATCTCAGGGTCCTGGGATCGAGCCCCGTGTTGGGCTCCTTGCTTGGTGGGGAGCCTGCTTCTCCCTCTCCCTCTGCCTCTCCCCCTGCTTGTGCTTGCTCTCTCATTCTCTCTGTCAAATAAATAAATAAATAAAATCTTAAAAAAAAACCCCCAAACCATAAAACACCATATTCCTACCACCAGAGATTGCGTAGTGTGTCTCTTTCTAGATCTCTCCTTGCTCTCTCTCCCTCTCCCCATCTATCTGCGACAGCCACAAATCTGCACAGTTTGTGAGGAGTTCTCGGGGAAGCCTTCCTGAAGAAGTGAAATAGTGGAAGGGGGAAGGATGTGAATTGGTAAAAAGGAGTTAGGGCTCCAGGGTAGACAGTACCAGAGCCAGGAATGAAGGGCAGGGCTGAAGACAAGGAAGTAGGAAGACGAAAGTTCCACCGTTGATGAAAGAGACTGCACTGTGGGAGAGGGGAGGTGGTAGGATGGGAGGTGGGCAGAGGTATGTGAGACAGACCTTGGGTTTGATCCCAAGGGCAGAAAGATGAGTGGCATCATCCCCACCATCCCTTCCCTGGCTCTTCCCACTGACTTCAAGCACGCACAGTTTCCCTTATCCTAGAAAACCCTTCAGCCGACCCTTTTGCTCCTGGGTGAGGCTAACTGTTTCTCTTCTTGCTTGCTTGGCCATTTTCCTCTTGCCACCAGCCCCTCCCCTCACCTCCAACACTCGTAATTTGACCTCTGACCCCAGAATTGGACAACCACTTCCCTCTGTAGGTGACCAGTGATGTCCTTCTAGCCAAATAACCACGGCTCTTCCTCAGGTCTCATCCTATTGTTACTGGCACTGAATCTCAGAATTTTTCTCCTTTGGCTTTTATGACTCTAAAATATTTGTTCTTCTTTCTCAGTGTATTCCTAATTGGTTTCCTTTGGTGGTTCTGCTTTCTCTTGCCTGATTAGATATTCTAGAAAGCATCTTACCCCTTTGCTTTATATTTTTATTCCATCCACCCTCTACACCAGTCTCATGGCTTTGAATATGACCTCTTTTTTTAAAAAAATATTTTGTTTATTTATTTGAGAGAGAGAGCATGAGTGGGGGGAGGTGGGGAAAGGGAGAAGCAGACTCCCCGCGGAGCAGGGAGCCCGACGCGGGGCTCGATCCCAGGACCCTGAGATCATGACCTGAGCCGAAGGCAGATGCCTAACCGACTGAGCCACCCAGGCGCCCCCTGAATGATGACCTCTTTCTCAATGACCCCCAGCTACATATCCCTAATCCTGACCTCTCCTCCTCACTTTATCTGGGACTAACAAAAGATATTTCAGCTTGGAAAGTGGCTGTCACTGCCAAGGGACAAGTTTTGAAACCCAACTTGCCTACCCTCCCAGCCTTCCTTCACCGCCCCCCGCGCCGCGCCGTCCCCTCCATCTCTAGCTTCTAGCCAGTCACGAAGGAAGGGATGTTTTGTTGAGCCTCCTCTTGCAGTCACCCATCCTGCCTACTTCCTGTCTTCCTACCTTGCCCAGACCTGCAGCAGGCACCCAGAGTTGATTTCTGTTTTATTAGCTTCTATGGTTAGATGACACATAGAAACCCCTTTGCTAAGTGACATGGGGAAAATACTTTGGGATAGCTACTTAATAATTTTTTTTCTTAATGCAGTTTTTTCCACCTATATGTGGAAAATCTCCTAGAGTGTTGTAGTTAAGAAAATGAATTAGAGGGGCGCCTGGGTGGCTCAGTCGTTAGGCGTCTGCCTTCGGCTCAGGTCATGATCTCAGGGTCCTGGGATCGAGCCCCGCGTTGGGCTCCCTGCTCAGCGGGAAGCCTGCTTCTCCCTCTCCCACTCCCCTTGCTTGTGTTCCCTCTCTCGCTGTGTCTCTCTCTGCCAAATAAAGAAATAAAATCTTTAAAAAAAAAGAAAATGGATTAGATATTGCTTTTTATCAGAGCCTAAGTGATTTTTGCATTTTATTGAGGCTGAAAACACAAAGGATGATGTTTGTGTGTTTAGGGACCCTATGCTTATTCCAGAATAATGCTTAAGAGGGAAAATTTTATTTTTAGAATTTTTATTTAGAGATTTTATTTATTTATTTTAGACAGAGACAAGTGGGGTGGAAGGGGAACAAAGAGCAGAAGGAGAGGGACAGGCAGACTCTGCACTGAGCACAGAGTCCGATGCGGGGCTCGATCCCAGGATCCCGAGATCACGACCTGAACCGAAATCAAGAGTCGGACACTTAACCAACTGAGCCACCCAAGTGCCCCTATCTTGAGAATTTCTAAACTGAAAATATGTAGGCCTTCAGAGTCTGTCTTCCTGTGTAAATGGGGCACTGACATAAGACACCTCTTCACGGGTTTGAAGTCTGACATATGGTCCTGGGTCTAAGAGCTGTGTCTGCCGTGCATATTTCATGAGGCAAGTTTCCATGCACAGAGAGAGCTCCCAGAGCAGTGGGACGGGGAGCTGTGACGTGCCTAGGCTCACAGGGCCATTGGCCAGGCTATCACTGTCCCTTACTGTGCTGGAACCTTCGGCCACTCCCCTGGAGGGTGAGTTCCATGCCTCAGCTCTGGGCTCGCCGGAATCCTGTGTAAAGTGCCCCCCCCCCCCCACCCGCCCCCCCCCCCCCCCCCCCCCGCCCAGCACTTTCACGTTCCACTGTGATGAGTGTGTCTTTGCCTTTGGCTTGACTGATCGTGCCTTCTGTTCGAACATATCCTTGTATTCATTGCTGTAGTCCAACATACCCCTGGCAAGAGACCTTCCATGTTTGATGAACGAGGGAGTGCATGAATGAACTATCGGACTCAACAGTAGCAGCTCTCTGAGGACGGAGGGCTCATATCTCACAGACTTGTGGTGTGAAGTTTTAAGTTTTCCGTTTCTATTTTCCTTGTTTTAGATGGGAAATGAACATCCAAATCATGGCAGTGAAATAGTTGAGATGTGCCCTTTAAAGATGTGAGGTGGCGCTTGATACAGACATGCTCACAGGTGGCATGTTGGGGGAGGATTCAGTCACAGTCCTGAGTAGGAGACTGCCCCCTCAGTGGGTCAGGGCTTCTGGACCGATGTAAATGAGTTAAGTCCTGGATGATCCCCTTACCTCCTGTGGCCTTCGTTTCCTCGATCACAGTCGGAGCCGCTGGGTTTGGGAATAAATGGGAGGGTTTTCTGCACCCGCACAACTCTGACCCTGGGGGCTGGAGAGTTGTGTGAAGTCGCTGAGGGGAGCAGACACCACAGCTTCTGTTCAGCTGCAGATGAACTTTGTCCCCTCTGCCCGGCAGCCTGCATGATACCCTCAACAATCTGAGATCAAAATACGCCAAACAGATCAAGCAGTTTCAGGAGGAGAACCAGTCGCTGACCTCCGACTACAAACGCCTTGTGACGCAATTCAAGGAGCTACAGAAATCCATGCGGTATTTTAGGGACCTGGGTTCCCAAGGCACGTGCCCTAGATAGAGGTGGGCCCAGGCATGAAGAGTCCTTTGTGCTGTCTTCCCCGTCCCTTTACTCGCATGTCCCCTGCCTTTTCTTGAGACGCGTGAGGACCACCTCCAGTCTGTCATAGGTGAGGACCAGCGACCCGGGACCGGGGTGCACCCCAGCTCCACTCCGCGCTCGCCCTACTGCTCATGGAGGGGACCCTGGCCAGGCCCCAGGCTCTGCTGGCCATGCTGAGCAACTCTCCTTCACAGGCATTTTGCTCTTATTGATGACAAGCAGTTTCGGGAGATTTGGCTGATGAATGAAGAGGAGGCAAAGGATCTGATAAGCAGAGCCTTTGATGTAGACAGGATCATTCATACCCATCATCTGGGGCTCCCCTGGACGGCACCTGATTTCTGGTTCCTGAGGAATGTGGGACCTATATCTCAGCAGCCGCAGAAGTCTGCCACACAGATATTAGAAGAGGTGCTGATGCAAGCAGGTGACTGGAATGGTATCCTAGAGTCCTAGAGCCCCAGAGCTGGGGGCCTGTCAGACCATCAGGTCAACCCATTCATTTCAAAGATGAGCAAACTGAAGTCCAGAGAAGGGGGAGGAGGTCTTGTGGCTGCAAGGTCCATAGTTGTGGCTTTTAAACCTGTAATTTAATTGATAGCTTTACCCTCTTCCCTGTTATTATAACCTGGTAGTTCGATCTAGAAGCTTGATCAGATTCAGACTTGGTTTAGTTTTGCTGAATACATTGTTGTTACCTCCATTGGGATAAACTAATGGCAGTTTGTCTCTCTCTTTGGGAGGCGAGCAACCATTGGTAGTCATTGTCTAAGATCCATTAATTGCCTTAGGGGTTGCAAAATGGTGATATTCTAAATTCTATCATATGTCTTCATTTATTAGCTGGACCACTTCTGAAAAGAGAATCTTCCCTTATTAGCTATTTGTTACCCTGAGACACAGTTCGTATAGGAAAGGCAGGATAGATGCTGTTCTTTCTCTATTTACTAGTTTTCAGAATAGATGGGCTGGGTCTCTAGCATCTTCCAAAGGTGACCAGTAACGTTTTATAAAATAAATATCATTGGTCTCCTGGGTGGTGCAGCTGGTTAAGCATCTGACTCTTGGTTTTAGCGCAGGTGGTGATCTCAGTGTCATGAGATCGAGCCCCACATGGGGTTCTGTGCTCAGCTTGGAGTCTGCTTGAGCTTCTCTCTCTCTCCCTCCCCCTCTGCCCCCCCAACCCCACGCACTCTGTCTCTCTGTCAAATAAACAAACAAAAAAATAAATATTGTTATGAACACATTAGATTTAAACAAATTTGATGTGTTTCGGTTTACTGCACTTATTACCCTTACTGATACTTAACATTGTCCATCTTTGGCCAGTGGGAGTCTCTTCATGTTGGCTTCTGGGTCCTTTTGACACAACCTCAGTAGTCGTTGATAGCGTCCTGGCTTTCCAGAATGACCAGATTTCCAGTCTCACATTATATGTTTCCTGCTTCAAGTCTGTAATCAGCCATTTCTCAAGGTCGAGGAGACCTGGTCCTTTTAAAGGGAATGGTATTTCAAAACCATAGTCTGGGAGCTGGAGTGCTCATTGTTTGGGATAGGTCAATTCCTAGGCCTTCCTAGTGGATGAGCATAGGGTGTAGAATTACATTTTCAGCATAAAATAAATCATGTGTTCATCCTGACACTTCCTAATCATCAGGATGCCAGAATTTTTACTTAACTTTATCAAAGTATATCTCCTTTCTCCTAATTTGAAAATCTTGGTGCACAGTGACTCCAAAATAATTACTCATTGCTTTTCCCACAACCACAGAACACTTGCAGAATAAAATATCAACCTACCACTAACAAATGATTACTAAAAATTGTTTAAACTTCTTTGAAGTTCTTTTTACTCTTAGGACACATTCCACTAGGGATGTACAGACAGATTGCTGTCTTTTATTATTTATTTTTACATTTATTTTATGATTTATTTTAAAAAATATTTTATTTATTTGAGAGAGAGAGCTGGAGGAGGAGTAGAGGGAGAGGGGCAAGCAGACCCCGCGCTGAGCGCGGAGCTGGACGTGGGGCTCGATCTCATGACCCTGAGATCATGACCTGAGCTGAAACCGAGAGTCAGATGCTCAACCAACTGAGTCACTCAGCCACCACCACCCCCATCCCCAGACTGGTGTCTTTTATTTTATTTATTTTTAATTTTTTTTAAAAGATTTTATTTATTTGAGAAAGAGAGTGACGAGAGAGCGCGAGCAGGGGCGAGGAGCAGAGGGAGAGGGAGAAGCAGACTCCTCGGCTGAGCAAGGAGCCCGACGTGGGTCCCAATCCTGGGATCATGACTTGAGCCAAAGGCAGACGCTTAACTGACGGAGCCACCCAGGCGCCCCGATGGGTGTCTTTTAAAGTCACTTAGAATAGTTTCTATTTGGTTATGTCACCAACCGAATACATACTTAGGTCTTTTTGTTTTGTTTTACTTCTGATTGTTAGGGATTGCTTTTTACAATTTAATTTTGTTTTATAGTTATGTAAAATAGTTACATGCTTCCAAAGTCAAGTGTACGAAACAAGGTATCCTGGAGGAAGTGTAGTCTTATCCTCTCACTCGGTTTTACCCCCTTTCTGTAGGTAACTATCTAAAAATGTATGGTTTATCTTTCCATTGCTTTTAAAAACAACTGTGTATATATATTTGTTTGTATTTATATAGACCCACTTCTTATGTATTTTTTTTTTTTTAAAGATTTTATTTACTTATTGACAGAGAGAGCGAGAGAGCACCAGCAGGGGCAACAGTAGAGGGAGAGGGAGAAGCAGGCTCCCCGCTGAGCAGGGAGCCCGATGCGGGGCTCGATCCCAGGACTCTGGGGTCACGACCCGAGCTGAAGGCGGACGCTTAACCATCTGAGCCACCCAGGCGCCCTAGACCCACTTTTTAAATGAGAGCATATGCTTTTCTCCATCTTGCTTTTTTCACTTACAAAGTATCCTGGAGGTCAGTCTATAGTAGTAAGAAGACACATTCCTCATGCCGTTTTTATTTGGTATTCTCTTGTGTGGCTGAGCTATAACTTATTCAGATAGTGTTCTGTTGGTGGCCACTTGGGATATTTCCGGGTTTTTGTTTGTTTGTTTTTTCTCTTACAAACATTGCTGCAACCAATAGCTCTGTGGATTTGTGTCTGCATATTTTTCCTGGCGAATTGTTGGGATAGATCCTTAAACGTGGGACTGCTGGATCAAAGGGTAAATGCCTCTGTAGTTTTGCTGGATATTGCTCCATACAGATGGGACCATTTTGCTTTCCACCAGCAAGATGGTATCTTGTACTTTTCCAAAATATCTTCATTTACATTATCTCATTTTATCTTTTGAACAACTAGTAAAACCTGGTAGGACAATGATTTTTTGTGACTATTTTCAGATGAGGTATATATAGTATAAAACATTTTTAAATCTCTAATTTTAATTAAAATGTTTGGCTCTTGCTATTAGCTACCAGTTCTTGCTGAGAAGTGAGGCCACCACTTGGACCACGGTTTAGTTGGCTACGTCTGATCTGCTGCTGGTTTAGAAACCACCTAGCAGATGTTCTAGATTGTTGTCTAAAGTGAGAATAAATAGGTTCATACTCTCCCTTCTGCTTCCTGGTCGTGGCTGGATTTTGAGTATGATGTTGGCAGGGAGATGAAATTTACAACAGCGAAGCGTTGTAGAACGGCAGAATTCTCCCGCTAGTCTCGTATCCAACCCCCAGCCTTCCTGTTTTTGCCACATACTAGGCTTTCTTCAGCTAAGGAGACTCCATAGGGCCTTAAAGAGGCTTTTTAACGGGTAAATTTTCTCAAGGAAGGCGGTTTGTTGCTCAAAGTCAACAAAGCCAAGCAATGATCCCCCTTTTCTCTCCCACTCTCTCTTCTCTCTGCCTCATCTGCAGAAGAGGAGGAGACCGAGGAGGCCGCCTCGGAAGCAGAGTCTTACCTCGACCTGCCGAAGCAAATTTCCCCCAAAACTACCAGAAAGATCCTGATGCTCCTGTGTGACGAGTCGGTGAGGCCGGCCGCGTGGGGCTGCGCCGGAGGGACTCCTGGCCGGTGGCTCCCTGCCCTTGCTTCTCCCGTGCTGCTGTGGCCCAGGCTGGCCCGGCCAGGCAGGAGGGCACAAGCACTGAGCAGCAGAGCTGGGCTGGTTCACGAGAGGCCCGGCCTCAGAGCTGCCCCCGGCTGGCCAACGGGTCTTCCCTTAGTGGGTCAGCAAGGTGTGGGCCAAGTTGGCCCCCGGCTCCTGCTAATGAAAAAAGAAAAAAAAGCTGAGTCTGCAAGAGAAGGGGCACCAGTCTCCCCTCCGTGAACCCACCTGCCGAGTGGTGTGGCCACAGCTGACGTGGCCTTACCCTGGGAGCTCAGTTTGTGATTTCTCGGGGTGTGTCAGGCTTTGGATAGCTGTATACTGTATATTAGCAAGACCCACTGGATTTCATGTAAAGGGTGTTGGAGGTGGCTCAGCTAGGAGTTGAGGTGTTCTAGGAACATGACTGGTGCATGATCCTGCATTTCTGAGATGAGTCAAAGAGGTGTAGCCAGGACTGGCAGCTTCCCACCCCGTGGGACAGTTTTCTTAGGCCAAGAGCTGGCTCTTGTCCCTGAGGGCGGCTCCTGCTGAAAGAGGCAGTAGGCAGGTGCTCCCCTACCCCTCCGGCCCTCTGCAGGCTTGCTGCCAGTGGCCACCTGTCACGCAGCCCTCCCCCAGGCCTTCCCAGCTCAGAGTGGGTGCTGGGCGCCCAGTGTCCCCACCCGCCGCCCACTTCCTGTGCACTGTGCCGGGATACGGTGTGCCCATCCCCCGCCATGCCTCCCTCCCTCTCCCCCAGCTCAGTGCCTGCCGCCCTGGTCTACAGATATTGGAGGGCTAGCCTCTGAGCAAAGTGACGTTGCGAGGGCGGGAATGTGTGACTGGAGCAGGTCTGGGCGGCTCTGGGGAACTTAGCCGTTTGCCCAGGGGCTTTTGGGTGAGGTGAGCCAGCACCCTTCATCCATGATGAGTATTGGCTTTGTGTCCGGGAAGGGCTCTCAGGCATCCCAGGAAGGACTTCCTCTGGGGTCCTGCTGCCCAAAGTCTCATCCCCGGGGTCCTGCTCTGTGGAGTCATCGCTGATAGTTACACAGAGGTAGGCTGCAAACCCAGCACTCATTTCTGAAACCTGTCTCTGACTAGAGATGTCATTTTCCTTCCCAGGGTTTCCTCATAGAGAGCAAGCTGCTGAGCCTTCTCCTTCCCCTGGAGAAGAACGAATGCTATCTGCTGAGGTTGGACGCCATTTTCTCAGTGAGTCCCATGGGGCTGAGTTGATGGGGTGGGGGCCTCATTCTATGCCAGCCTCCAGAGGACTGTTTTCCAACATTGCCTTGGCCCTGGGAAGAGATACAGGTCTCCCAGGCTTCCCTGGCCTTGCTGTCACCTCCTTCCCTTTCCTCGTTCTCCATGCCCCAAATAGGCCACCAAGTCTCCCAGCCCTGACCCTTCCTCTACCAGCTTCTCTCTCATGGCCTGGCTCTCAGACTGTAGGTTCTCCCCTGCACCCCTAAACTCGGATGTGTGTCCAGCCTCCTCTAGCATTCTTATACCCCCCCCCCCCCAGGCCTGTACAGAGCTGTTCCTGACTCTGAGCATTGTTTCTCTGCTCGGATGTGATCTCACTGTGCTTCCCTGGTGTTGAGTGGCCTCACTCTGGGCCATGGCAGGTGCTGGGGGTGTTTGGAGGAACAGCCAAACCTCCTGCTCTTAGGAGCTGAGGGTCTGGTAACTCTGGTAGCTGGTGGACTTCTGGCTGTGGTGTTTGAGCAATTCTCCTATTTTCCCCCAGGCCCTTGGAATTGAAAGTGAGGACGACTTGTATAAACTGGTGAATTTCTTCCTCAAATACCGAGTTTATCATTCACCCTCCAGTCAGGTAATGTGAAATGCAATACAAAAGAGAGCATTTGAAATTCTGGAAGCTCCCAGAGGGCATTGCTGCCTTTCTATAATACTCGTGGAGAGATAGTGAGGGTTTCCTGTCAGAGATAGCTAACTTAGTGTTTCCCACACTATTACTTTTTCTATTTGCAAGGGAAAGAATGGCGGGGGATGGGAGGCTGTTCTCATACTAAGGCCAAAGTGTCTTTTCCTGGGCCCTTCCTCAAAGCCAGGCTTCAGCCCCTAGGAGCCCTGGGCCCACCAAGCTCTGAATATTTTGATCCTTACCACTTTCCTGCAAAGCAGGGCCCATCTGTAATACCCATCTTGATCGTAATGGACTATTCTGAAGAAGCCATCATGTTAAAAATATTATAAAGTTTTAATTTAAAAATTAAAAACTTGAATTAAAAAATGCGTTTCATATTGCTGGCTCCAGGGTGAGTATCCTCGTATGCTTCCGAAAAGAATTTTCTGGATGAACAAAACCCAGAAGCCGTAAAGGGGGAAAAATCGGATCTATTTGACTACATTAAAAAAACAAAAAACAAAAAACAAAAAACCCCCAACCCTGTGGGGCAAAAATCACTATAAGCAAAGTTAAGATACAGATGACAGCTGCGGGGGGAGGGGAACGTTTTTAACTCATATCACATTTAAGGGCCCATTTCCTTAATATACAAAGAACTCATATAAACCAATAAGAAAAAGACCAACAGCTCAATGGAAAGGACGAGGGATATGAACAAAAAATCTCCTACAAGAGGCAATACGAGTAACTTTTAAACACATGAAAAGATAACCAGGCTTCTTATGATAAGAGAAGTGCAAATGCAAACTGTTCCAAATTCCATCTGCACCTGTCACGTGGGCAAGACTCTGCGAGTTGGATAACACGTGCTGACGGCCCAGGGGTGGGAACCAGACCCGCTCCTGTCGCTGCTGTGAGAGCCCATTGTCACCACGTGCAGTGTGGGTGACAACACCATATGCCCTGGCCCCTGCAATTCTTCCTGCAGCTATGTCTCAACACGATGAAAGGGTGTTTATTGTAGCTCATTGGTTTCCATGGCGCCTGAAATGGGAGAAGGTTGAAAACAACCTCTAATTCCATCATGAAAGGATCGATTACCTCATCAGTGGTGCATCGACACAGTGGGATACTATGCACCAGCAAAAAACAGACCAAAGCAGTTCTTTACATATTTTTTACGTGAAAATATCTCTAAGGTTTATTGGTCTGTGAAAAACGCCAAGTGCAGAACTGTGCGGTAGAGTATCATTCGTGTGAAAACGGGAGGGAAGGCGTTGCTCGTATGGACAGAGGATTTCTTCGGAAGGATGCGGAAGACGATGACGTTGGTTTCCCTATGGGAGGTGAACTGAACTATGAGACAGGAGTAGGAGGAAGACTTTTAAATTAAAAAATTACAATGTAGTTTGTGATTTTTGATTTAAAAAGATATATAGTGTCAGCTTTAGGAATATCAATAAAATGAACACATATGAGCCCCGATTTAGAAATAGAAGATCAGCACTGTTTGGAAGCCCCCCGTGTGCCTCTCCCTGATCCTGCACTCTTTCACCATTTCTTCCTTCCTGTAAATGTGTCCCTTTGCATCTTTTCTATAACTTTCTGTAAACTTTTCTCCACTTTCTATCTGCCTGTCTTCAGACACTCATGCTTGCTCTGTCCCCCTGATCCATAGTCACCCTTATGCCTTTCTCCAGCTCAACCCCTGGCATCTGTCACCTCCACAGGAGCAAACAAGCCTGTTGTCAGCGCTGGAGCCAGGAAAGCAGCCAGACCTCGAGGGACAGAAAGAGGAAAGCCTCGTGGAAGGGGAGCCGGAAGAGAAGGAGGCCCCCCCTTCTTCCAGGCTCATCCATCCCAACGATGTCCTCAAGATTCTGGAGGCCTTTGTCATGGGTCTAAAGAAACCCAGGTGTGGTGCTGGAGGGCTTGCCTGAGGCCCCGGGAAGGTGGGGGCCAAGCAGATGCTCGTGTGTGTGTGTGCAGAGGCTGGGAAGGGGGGAGGAGAGGGTGATGGGGGAGGGCTGGAGGAATCCCCGGACACGAAGGGAAGGAGGGGGTGTAGAAGCGATTTGCATTTTCTCATGCATCATTCATTCAGCGGTCAGTCACGGGGTCTGCTGTGCCCTGTGGAGGTCGCACCTTGTTAGCAGGACGATGGCCAGAGCGTAACAAGGTGTCCTGTTGCTCCGGGGAGGAAGTGGCCACCCCATCTGGCGTGTCCGAGAGGGCTTCAGGCACCCAAACTGGGTTTTGCTAGGTGGATAAGTGGGGGAAGGGCCATTTCAGGTGTCACAGTGTGGGGAAGGGTGTGTTCAAGAGGTGTGGCTGGTGTCAGGGTCTTCCGTGGGAAGTGTGGCCAGCGGGTGGGGGGGGGCCAGATCTCGGAGAACCTTGCCCACTGTGTCCAAGACCTTTGTCTTTACCCTTGAGTGGACCGGAGCCAGAACATGGTCTTGAGCAGTAGGGGAGCCACACTTAGGCTTGCATTTTAGAAAGATTGCTTTGGTGGCAGGGAGGGGCTGGTGCTGGATGCAGGAGAGCAGCCGGGGGCTTTGTCCTGGTGGAGGTGATGATATCCTGGATCAGGGCTATCCTTGAGGGCAGCCAAATCTTGAGCGGGGTTTTAGATGCATTAGTGAAAGAAATGGACATAGTAGCAGCATGGAAGGCCAGTGAGGTAAACTGGCCGAGAGAAGGGGTGGGGATAGAACTCCAGGGATGCTGTCACAAAGGCGACAATGGCACCAGGAATCGGGAACATTGATGATAGTCGTGTGCCCTTTCAGAGAATCTGCCAGAAACCGATAGACTGGCATAGCTGAGTGGGAAGGTGACCAGTGGGAATGCGGGAGTCTGTGAGGGGCGGGCTCTGTGGCTGGCACTGCGTGGGGGCCCTGGTGGGGGGGGGCAGATGGAGACGATGCGACGTTTGCTCTTAACCTTCAGGGACTCTTGGGCACCAGTGAAGTTGAAGTATGTGCGGGATAACTCAAAGGACTCTGAGTATTGGGAGGCCCTGACCACGGTTATCCCTGACACCACGCAAAACCTCTGGGACGCTCTGTACACAGCCCTGGAGAAATACCAGTAAGCCCACATGTCATTGCGCAGAAGGAGGGGGCCAGACAGGCAGTGGGGAAGGATCCTGCTTGCCAGGGCCACATTTGCCACCTCCCTGGTTTGGAGAGAAAAGCTGCCTTTGGAAGGAAAGCTCCCGCCAAAGGGGCCTGGGGCGTTGGGTGGCTGGCCCTGTGGCCCTGCCCTCCTGTTCTGTTCCTGCCCGCCTGGTTCGTTCAGGGCAGGAAGGTTGCGCTAGTGGGTGAGGCTTCTGGGCTCCTCTTCCGCCTCCCACCAGAACAGAAACCCAGAGATCCTGACCTGGGGAGAATGGAGGAAGATTCAGGGAGCCTCTAACTGATTTTTCTGCCCAAAGCCTCATCCTGACCCAGAGGGCCAAGCTGCTGATAGAAAACAACTCACTGGAGCAGCAGAACACAGAGCTCCAGATGCTGCTTCAAAAGTATCTAGATTCCAAGGTGGGTGGACTCTAGAGGAGGGTAGGCAGGAGGCTGAGGGAGGCAGTGGGACTCCTCTTAGGAAATGGGTCTCTTCCCTCACTAGAAGCAAGGGAGCGTTGAGATGTGACATAAAATATCAACAGTCATACCTCCGGTTGGGACAGAATTATCGGGCAAGGGGGTGGACGTTGCCTGAAGTCTCCTCCTGGACATCATCTGGGCTATGATGGTGCCCCTCGGAAGCCATGGTTTTTGGTGCCTGCTCCTTGCTGGACCGTCCTCGGAAGCGGTGCCAAAGCCTGTGATGGCATCACAGGCCGCAGGGCCCTTCCTCATGAAGTTTCTTCTTTGCTCCTAACCCCTCTGTGAAGCTAACAGGGCACAGGTGATTCTCCCAAAAAGGAGAATCAAAACTGGAAGCCTCTGTGACGTGCCCAGAGCCCTGGGCTCTTCCCACTCTGCTGGCCAGGTTGTCCGGCCTGGGCTATGACATGGCGAGAGGAAGCTCCAAGTGAGACAGATAGTCCCTGGCCCCCACTCTTGATCACTCCAGTGATGGTTGGGGCAACTTGCCCATGGCCTGCCGGAGAAGAAATCCCACAGTCTCTGCTCCAAAGGTTAGAATCCATTAAGTTGCTGGCTCGGCTCTGCTAGTGTGGAATCCTGCACGTGGCACTGAGGCCGTGGGCCTTGACACACCGGGCTGAGGGTAGGTCCTCCGTCACCAGCTGTGTGTGGGAGAAGTGACTGAGGCCAGCCACAAGCCCAGGAACGGGGAGTGTGGCCCTGCCGTGGTCGCAGGCCCCAGGCCACAGCTGAACAGAGGATGTGGTAAGCCTTGGTGTCGTGACAGACCTGAGGGCTGTGTGGCCCACACTTTCGTCCATGCTGCTGCGCACAAGAGGATGGGGAGGTGCAGGGAAGGGCAGGGCTAGACCGGGGGCGGGATGCACAGGTGAACGGGAGACGGAGGACTTAGGAGAGTGGCTCGGAGCAGAAGGTTCGGAACGTTACCAGAGGTTAGCTAGCTGGAGCAGAAGCCAACCCAAAAGCCGTAGGACTTCTCTTCTGAAGGAAGGCAGAGTGTGGGCTTTCCCCAGCATCTGGAAGCACATGGGGAGGAAATGCTTGCAGAGTTGGAGCCCTGAGGAGAGCTAACACGAGCACCTGCCCCCCAGAGGTCATGAAGAAGGAGGGCCCTGGGAAAAATGGAATGACCTGTACTCTTTCTTTTCCAGATAAACTCTGAACTGCAAGTTCCACCAACTCGGGTGTTCCGGGCACCCACAAAATAGAGCTGGGCCTCGGAAGGCTGCCGTGTTAAGGTGCGTGCTGGTGCTGGTGATGGCACGTTTCACCCGGGCACCTGCCTGGGGCCACTCTGGACTTTCCAGAGCTGCTGTGATAGGGCCTGTCAAAAGAAGGCCGAGCGGTTACCTGTATCCTGCCGTCATGATTAAAGTCTTTAAAAAGTTGTGGCTGAATCTCTCCAAAGAGCTCAGGTTCCCTGAGCTACTGGCCCTTGACCCCACCTCATGTCATGAGGAGACTTTGTCCCCACCTCAGACCATGGTAGAACAGGCCTGTCACTGTGGGACTGAGCTTAGGCCAGTGGCATGGGATTCCCTTCTTGATTTGGGGGGCAATTGGTGGTCTATGAGTGGAGGCTGGAGCTTCTGGGGCTCTTGCAGGGTCTTTTTTTTTTTTTAAGTAGGCTCCACGCCCAGTGTGGAGCTCAATGCGGGGCTTAAACTCGTAACCCTGAGATCAAGACCTGAGCTGAGATCAAGAATTGGATGCTAAGCAACTGAGCCTCCCACGTGCCCTGCGCTCTTAAGCCTTCAGACTGTCCTTGGGCCTGCAGGACCCTTTTGGTGAGCTTTTGGGGTCCCCGTTTCCATCTGGTATAGTGTGAGGCTCTTCCCCTGGGCAGCCTGGGCAGGTGGCCCAGTGCCTAAAGCCCTCCCTGAACCTTGGGCCACGAGGCTATCCAAAAGGGAAGAGCCAGAGGGGCCCAGCTGGTGCTGAGTTTGCCAACCTGTGCCCCTATACTGGTCCCCCCACTTGGCCAAATGCAGACTTCTCAGCTCAGTGTTTAATTCCTTTTATTAAGAGAAAAATCACCACTCAAGAAAGGAACAACAGCCAACAGAAACCCAGCTCTCAGGGCAAGTACCCGCTCCCATCCTGGCCTCCATGAGGGCCTGGTAGGGCAGGCGGGCATGGGGGGCGGGGGGAGGCACCGGGGTTCACTCTCACTGCTCCTCATCTGGGCTTCTGAGCGCTGGACTGGGCAGAGGAAGCTCTGGGAAGCGATAAAAACCCACAGGCATGGCAGGGACGGGGCTTGAGCCCCCACCACAGCAGCTCCCTGGGCAGGAGGAGGCACTCGGGAGGGCCGCAGGGCGGAAGCAGCCACCTCCACACCCTTTGTGGGAAGGGTCTGGCCCACGTGTGCAGAACAAAGACGGGTGGTGTGGCTGCCCTCGCGAGATTCTGTGGGGGAGGGAGGGTGATGCTTTTTGCTTGTTCATTCTTTTTATAGCTCTGGCCACTGGCTAGTTCTCAGTTAATTCCATTAAAGCTTTACTCCTCCACTGGAAGGCCTTCGGGGAGGGTCTGGGGTGGCCATACCCGAGCCAGGGGTGCCTCAGCCAAGAGGGGCAGGACCCCACTCCTTCTCACCCTTCCCACCCCACAGGCAGGGACCAGATGGGTGGCACGGGGCAAGCAACAGGCTTGGGGGGGGGGAGGATGAGAGGGGCCGGGTCACCGGCCCAGCAAGCAGGAGGTAGACTTCGGGGACCTGAGGACACAAGGGGGGACACTGGGCTTCCCAAGCTGCCCAGGGAGAGGAGCAGCCACCGGGCCATGGGGCTTCACGCCCCGAGCAGCTTCTTGACCATGTAGCCGGGGAGGCTGTAGAGGAAGAGGGCCAGCAGCAGCAGCCCGAGCAGTGCCAGCACGATCTTGATGAGGAGCCACTTGTACCGCGTGCAGATGAGGTACCTGATGGACTTGAGGGGGTTGAGGAACCAGACGAAGGCGGTGTCAGGCCGGCTGCGGGCGGAGGGGGAGCCGTGGTCAGGCAGTGGGCCTCTCAGCCTCTCCCCCTTTCTGAGAACACGAGCGTCGGTCCCCACCGGGCCCTGCCGAGGGTCTGAGGGGCCCCCGTGGGACACACGCGGCTCGCTGCCCTGCCTTCCACACAGCCTCCCGGCCAGGAGGTGCTTCCTGTCGTCGGTGTTACGAAAACGGTAGGGTTTATAAGACGCCAAGACGGAAAATTCAAGTACTGAATAGGTGTTTTCATACTCCTGTCCCAGCAAGCCCCGGGGGACACAGACCGTGCATTCCAGAACCTTCGGGGCGGAGTGCGGCGCCAGCGCAGGGCACCTGGTTTCCAGGCCCAGCGGTGATGGGCAAGTGAGGCCCCTGTCTGAGCCTCAGTTTCCTTACTTACACAGCGGGGGTTAATAGCGGACGTTGCCTCCGCGGCTGGTGCGGGGCAGGGCGGGAAGTGCACGCGCCGGGCGAGGCCCCCCGGCTCCCTAGGCTGCTCAGCAGATGGCACCTGCTAAGCTGGGGGGACGGGATGGAGACCCTGCCCGGGCCGCACGGCGGAAAACGGCTCCAGGCTGCGAGGTGGGGGCCGGTGGGAACTGGCGAGGCCTTGCTGGCGAGTCCTGGCCAAACCCTTCCCCATCCCCCGTCCACACGCCAACTGCTTTCTGCCGATGGCGCCGGCTTAGAGTCTGTCATTCTGCCATGAGGACAGGAAGCGGTGTCCGGCCCAGAACGCCGGGTCGGCAACGTGAAAACCTAGGCTGGGTCTCAGCTCTGATCTGCTCGGTGACCTTGCCTCTCTCTGGCCCAGTCCGCACTCACGTACAACAGTCCCTTGGGTTCTGAGAGCCCAGGGGACTGTTTGGCCGCCCGGGAGTTGGCGTGTGCACGTGTGCATCCGTGTGTGTGCGCGTGTGCATGCGTGGGTGCCGCCTGCTGAAGCTCGTCGGCCTGCAGTCCAGAGGGACAAGTGGGGAGTCCCGGAGCCAGCAGGAGGCCAGGCCCAGGCCCCCCGGGGCCTTCTTGGGCGGGGGGGGGGAAGCCGGCACCGAGCAGAGGGCGGGGGCGAGCAGGAGGGGCAGCAGGAGTGTGAGGAGCGGTACGTGTGCCACAGGAAGGAGCGGGCAGACTGGGGAGGGTTCAAGAACCCCAGGAAGCTCGCGTCTGGCCGGCCGCAGCGGCAACAGGGCAGAGGCAGCGTGGACAAAGGACCCGGAGGACGAAGGCTCAGGCTGTGGCAGGGGCCTTGCAGCCGGGGGGTGGGGGGTGGGGGGGCGCCCCTGGGCTGAGTGTGTGCACTTCTGGGCGCCTCCCCTGCCAGCAGGGCCGCCTGGCGCCCCGCGCTCCACGGCTGCCGCTGCTGGCTTCTGGCAAAAGTAGGAAGAGCATTAACTCTGTGAAACGGGGCCTTCCCTGGGAGAGGCGCCGCTTTCCTGCAAAGGTAGCCCCTGCTTTGGCTCAGAGGGAAGCATGGATTCCAGGGCGAAGCAGAGAGGAGAGGGGGCTGCCCTGCCCAGAAAGGGATAGAGGGCGCAGAGGTGCCTGCAGGGCGGGAGCAAGAAGGCCAGAAGCTTCTGGCCCCTCCTTCCTGTTCCCGTGGCCCCAGAGACCGGCGTGGCCGGCAGCACACTCACTTGGGTTTCTCTAGGGGGTCAGGTTCATTGCGGGCCAGGCCCACAGGATTCTTCTCTGCCTCCTCGGCTGTCAGTAGATGCAACTCTGCCTCCACCTTGCCCTGCAGAAGGGAACAGAAGGAGCCCAGTGCTCAGGCCGGGTGCCGGGCCCTCAGCACCCTAGCCGCGCCCAGCCCTGCCCTCTGCCCAAGGAGCCGTGGTCCCCACCGTGAGCTCGAATTCGTCATTCTCATTGCGGGCCAGGAGGGGCCACCAGCCTTTGACGCGCTTCTGCTTGAAGATGGAAACCAGGGGCACGTCCACCTCCCCCGTGGCCATCTCCATGGTGCACAGCTTGGCTGTCTTTGCGCCCCGAGGAAACCGGTTCAGGTCCAGCTCGATGGCCCCTGTGGCAGCCTTGGAGTCAGCTCTGATGACCTTCCCCGGGCTGGGCTCCCCCTGCCCGCCCCCCTTCCTTCCCCAGCCCTGCACCCAGGAAGTCGTCCGCGGAGAAGTGGTCGGCGTCCCAGATCTGCAGGGTGAGCCGCGCGGGCATCTTGTACTCCGTCTCGTCCCAGGAGAACATGGACTCCTTCTTGGAGATGACAATCTTTTCCTCAGCGGCCAGGTAGTCGAAGGGGAACAGGTAGCGCCAGTTGAAGTTGCCCTCGCCGGTGAGGGAGTGATAGTGGACATCTGTGTCCTGCTTGTCCTCCTGCTGGCCCTTCAGCCACCTGCCAGGTGCCACCGGCTCCAGAACGGGCGGCCACCTGCAGGGAGCCCCGTCCCTCCTCGCCTGCCTCCCAGGAAGGTGGGCTCAGCCCCCGCCCCGCCGCAGCCCGGTGCCCTCTCACCCACCCCCGCACAAAGATGTCGCTGGACTTCTCCCCGGTGAAGAAGTCATCGTCCTCCAGGACCACCTCGTCCGTGTTCCACACGATGACGCGGAGCTCGTACCTGGGCAGGGGAGAGGCTGCCTCACAGTCTGGGGGTGGGGGCTGCCCCAGGGTCTTGGGGTGCAGATGGGGCAGGTAACCGAGGGGAGTCCTGGGGACTCGGGGAGCCAGGTTGAGGTGGAGAGAGCTGATTCAGGGAAGGGGGCGAGGACAGGGAGCTGAGGTGACAGGGGGATGTTGGGGCCCTGGGCGAGGGAGGGAGGGTCACGGGCCAGCACAGCTCCTGTGAGGAGAGCCCTAGGGGAAGCCCGTCTGGCCGGCACGCCAGGACCCAGAGCACACTCCCGGACAGGGAGGCTGACCCAGAGCCGCTGCTGGGGGCTGCTGAGCACGATCCCTGTCTCCAGAGGCCAGAAGACCCTCCAGCTCTAACACAAGGGCACATTTAAGCCCAGCAGCTGGCAGGGGACACCCACGGAATCTGGTTTCCTTTATGCCCTTATCCCCGAAGAGGATTTTTCCCCTTGAAGTGTAATTGTCATTGCAAATCGGTGGTTACATTTCAAACCATTAGGAGGAAGGTTGAGTCACCCCCTCCACGTCGCTTGGAGTGCTGCCCTCCCTGGAGGTAGGCCGTTACACCCTGACTACAAGTCCCGGGTGACACAATGGGGTGAGGTGTCCCCTAGTGGCCGGCCCTGGGACAGCACACTCGTGACCTCGGGCCTGGAGGCTACTCCAGGTAGAATTTGCTCTAGAATTGGAAGCACTCAGCGCAAAATGGAAATGTGGGACCCCTTGTTAAAAAATTAAGAATTTAAATATTGCCATCCTGAAATAAGAGTGGGGCCCCTCTGAGTGTGGGCGGGTCTGTGCTGCTTCTCCACCCAGGCAGTTGGCC